GTTTGTACCATCTTCCTCGAGAGTCCCCTTGTGGCAAGTCCAAGGGGGATGGCCTCGACTGTGGTTCCGAGGATGGAGATGATCGAACTCCGGATGGTGCTGGGAACGTTGGCTTGGCTCAGTTTCTCCAGTAAGGGTGGGACGATGAGATCCACGTGGATCTCCAAGGCCTTGTCCAACTTCTGAATCACTTGTAGGAGCGCCTCGCCAATTCTGAGGACCTTGTCCACCTCGCGCTGGTTGAATCGTTTGCTGGTGCGCGAGGAGGATGAAAAGGAGCGGCTGCTCACACTCTCCTCCGAGGTAGAGAGGTAGATGGAGACTAGCCTCTTGATCATGCCACCGCCGTGACTCGAGGCCATCTCGCTCAGACCTTTGACGGCGTTGAGGTAGAGGTAACTCTCGTCGTCCTGGATTGCCTGGAGCAGGATGTCGAGGATCGCAGGGATCAGCGCCGGATCCAGGTCTTCCTTCATCCCGCCGCTCTTGCTGTCCGAGGAGACGAGCTTGGTAAGGAGGATGAGGCCGTGCGCCCGGACTGGTAGGATGGGATCCTGGAGCAGTTTGAGAGCCTCCTGGTACGTCTTCATCGCTTTGGCCTTGCCAGTTGAGAGAGGCTCGTCACGACCTGTCTTCCCGTCAACTTTTCCCTTATCCTTGGTCGCGCACGCGGGATCCACTGGCACGAGGCTCCTCCTCGCCGTCAGGACAAGCTTGGCTTCCTTGGCCAACGACGCCGTCTCCCTATTCCGACTGTCGGCGTGGGAATCCAGCTTGGACTCGATGACCTGGAGTAAGGATACGTTTTCGGTGGATAGCTTTTCGTCGCCTGATTTGCAACAAAAGTGTGTCAAGGGGCAGAGCCACGGCACGAATTGGAGAAAGATCGAGATCAGAGTTGGTTTCGTGAGAGTGGACTTGGTGAAAACCAAGCCCAGAGGCGGGTGGGGCGGTCGTTCGGATGGGAGACGAGACACTCACCTTCCAGAAGCGAGAGGAGTAGTGTGAGGGCAGTGTTGACGAGCTCTTCGTCCACCTCGCCCTCCGCATCGTCGACTTCCACATCGAATTCCGCACCCTCCTCCTGCTGGCTAGCGGAGGCTCCGATGTCGAAAAGACTCGGAATCGGAGCCTGTTTCCGCTTGCTGACACCGACAGTGGTGATCTCGTCCTCGCTCTCCAGTACCTTCACCTTGACTTCTGCACCCGCCATCTTCCTTCTCTCGGACGGCGACATCAATGAAAAATCAACGAACGACAAAGTGGTCTTGATGTCGTTCTGCAGAATTTCAGAGCCGAAAGCTTCGAATAGATGAAGGATCATCTGCAGGTAGAAGACGGCCCTGTCATTTCATACCATTGGAGTGGAGGGGAAGGGACGAAATAGCGCTGTCAGAAGAGGGAAGGGGAAATTTGATAGGAAAACCAAAAACCAGAAATGGGACAACATCCAAACTCACTTGGTCTCCAGACTCTCTCCTCGCCGTTCGATCCCGGCCTTCTTGAACGCCTTCTGGCCGATGTAACCCTCCAGAACCCTTGGAAGCAAGGTCTGAGCCACGTCTCTCCTCTGGGTTGCCTTGAGCAAGCCCACCAGGAGCTTTGGGTCCGGGTTGAGGCTCAGGGAACCAGGTAGGGTCGCTGGAATGGCGGGCAAGGGACCTCCTCCGTCCTCTGAACTGTCGCCTTCGCGGACAGCTCTTGCAAGTTGTTCGAACGAGATGCCTCCTAGTAGATTGGAAAGATCCCAGTCATCTTGAGGCGGTCTGAGATAGCAGATTGGAGTGTCGCGAGGTAAAGGCAACGGGAAAAAGGAGAGAGAATCAAAGAAGATGATGAAAATTTGAGCGAGGGCTTATCTCAACTCTACTCGCAATCCGGACTGGAGCATCCAGTCCCTCGCACACTGACCTTCCATAAAGCACGGATACTCCTCTGGAGTCTTGGCCCCAGAAGAAGCACTCGTCCCCACTCTCCGATTCGCAACCGGACCCGATCCCCTTCCCGGACCTTCTGAGACAATCCGCAAGGACCTTGGCACCTCTCTCACTTTCGACGAGCCTCATCCAAGCTCTCACGATCTTATCCACCTGATCCTTCAGCTCGGCCACGCTCTTGCTCTTGAACTCCTGAACCTTGGCTACGGCCGCTGCCGAGGGTTTCGAAAGGAAGGAGTATAGGGACAAGAGCTGCGCCAGGATTGGCGAATAGAGGAAGTCGAAAAAGTCGGGCGATGGCTCCGAGAGGACAAGGAGTGTGGTCAGCAACGAGATCGATCTCACGAGCCGCTCTGGATCCACCACCGTGACCGCCCATGCCACTTCAGCTTCTCGGTTGGGGTTCGGCGGCGGCGGAACGAGGTCAGGTTCAAAGCTGGAGTAGATCCTTTCCTGCAGCGTGGCCCGGAGGTGATCAGGTTGCTTCTCGGCTAGCCTGGTCAGAACGAAGGAGGCCGCCCTCATGTGCGAGGGACTAGGAGGAGTGATGGTCGTCTTGGGGTCGGGATCCACGATGTCTACCAGTTTGGGTATCACTATGTTGAAGTAGACCTCACCCGGCATCCTTTGAGGTGGGGTAAGCAAGAGCTTCGACAGGTTCTCGTACTTGTTCAGCAAGTCTGTCGCAGGGTCGGAAACGAGTTGGTGAACGAGAATGCGAGAAATTAGAAGGGTCAGGGCAAAAAGAAAGAATATGGAAGAAAGCCCTCACCTTTGCCGCCATCACTGCCCTCATCCATGAAATCCGAGGCCTCGTCAATGTCGAGTCCTCCGAGCGTGACTATGAAAAGGGCTCGGACCCCGTCAGGTCGAAGGAGCTGGGCAGACAGTAGCTTCGAGGCCGAAGCCCTGACAAACTCTGGAGATCCTTGAAGTTGTGATTCGCTCTTTCCACCAGCCTCCGAGGCGGAGGATCGCAAAGGATTTGATATCACCGCCGACAGGGATGAGTAAGCGGAGACCGTTGAAAGGCTGGCATTACAGGGCAGGGATCGGGAGGGGCGTTAGATTAAAAAAATAAAAGGGAAAAAAAGGAACCCTGCTCGATCTTTCAGAATCGTTTTCCTGTCTCGATCTGAAGGTCACTTACAAGGTTAAAAGGCTGGAGACAAAAGCGGCAGAGTCCCTCTTTTGCCCCTCCGCCTCCTCAGTGGCCCCCTTGGGTGCGGGAAGGGGAACCATCGGACCGAAGGCCAACCTTAACCAGCCTCCCAAGAGATCCGTGACCCCGAGCCTCAGCAAGAAGACGGAGACGTCAGTCGGGGTAGAGATCCCGGTCGACTTTGAGCCAGCTCCCTCGTTGTCCGTCAGCAGGGCCTTAAACCTATTCAGAAGATGGGCCAAATCATTTCTGGCGGTCGCCAACTCTCCTAGCGAGGTCCTCCTGCTCTTCTCATCCACTTCCGACGGTATCTCTTCGAACCTCGAAGTTTCTGGATCTTTTTTGGCGCTGCGCACGGCTTTGGGGTTGACTGCCACCAATGCCTGGTCGTACGCCCGAATCGCAGCTTGTAGAGACCATCGCAACGAAAGTGAAATCAAGGTCCTGGCCACTCTGATGTCCTTGACGCCGAGCGTCACTTCAAAGTGAGGTTCAGGCTCAGTACTGGATAACTTGAGCTTGCCCCTTTTCCTGTCGGATTCGACTCCAGCGGCTGGATCCGGAGGGCGAGAAGCCTTGGCGGTCTGGGAACGCTTCTTTTCCAACAGTCCGAGATGGATGGCCACGAGGAGGGCCAGAGATGCTTGGCCTGTGACCCGCTCCGATGAGTGCCACTGCGGCTCATCCTGATTCCAGACTACAAGAAGGCTCGTATCCTTCAGTTCCTCCTGTGCGTATTCGAGTCTCTCGCCCAGCACTCTGGAGAGACCTTGCAATGCCGTCGGTCACAGCCGTGAGAGATGGGAAAGGGGAACAGAAAGGGTGAGCCGAAAGTGCTTTTGGATTAGAATGAGCAAGAGGTCGTTACAAGGTTACTGGAAGGGAGGGGGTTCAGTGTGCTACGGCAGAGCCACCTTTCTTTCCTAGACTCACCCGCATCCTTCTCCTGTACCTTCTCGTCGCCACCACCATCACCACCACCACCCCCACCTCCTCCTCTGAAGGATTTGGCCTTTTCCGAGAGCGAGCTGGCAGAGGTTGCTTTTCTTATCCCGAGCGCTTCGTCCCTCTCCCCGGCTAAGACCCTAGCCGCACTGAGGGCCTTTTCAAACTCGCTGCTGCTTGAAGTTGGTTTGCGACTCAGAGGAGGGTCCACTATCTTTGGGTCCATGAATGCCTTTCAGGGAGGGAGGAAAAGGGAAAAAAAGGGAAGAGAGGAGAGATCTCCAAAGGCTTTCCTCCATGTATGCGACCACCGAGTCCTTATTGCTGAGGTGATGGTGGTGAGGAGGCGAGGAGGGAGGTCTCGTGCGTTGGATTGCAAAAGGGGGGTGGATGGTCACCTTGTCCTTTTTTCTTTTTCTTTTCTCCTCCTCTTCTTCCACCTCCACTCTCAGGGGGTCACCCTCTTCTTCCCTTCCGGCCGTAAAAAACAATAGCCAACATTCCTTCGTCCTCCATCACCTTCGCTTTCAACCCCCCCGATTCCCGATCCACTCTTCAGAATAGAATGCGAGCCAAGCAAGCCAGCCAGACGGACGCCACCTTAGAATGCGCCCCGATTCTCCTTTGGCCTTCGCCCTCGAATCTTGCTCCTTTCATATCACTTCTTCTCCTTGCCTCGAGACAAACACAGGCTCTACTTGTGTTTTTGCATCTCGCGATTGTGTACCCATTCCCATGCCCGGAAGGCATCTCGGCCGAGCATAGCTCAGTTGGAAGAGCGTGGGTTTGTAATGGAAGCCATGGCTAGTCACCCAATGTCCCTGGTTCGATCCCGGGTGCTCGGAGCATTTCATTTTTTTGGCAATCCTTCTTTTTGGCAAGTAGGATAAAGTGAACCTAGAGCAAACCCAACTTAACTGTGTATTATTACTCGTGACGCTTGTTGCTATGCGAAGCCGAGCATAGCTCAGTTGGAAGAGCGTGGGTTTGTAATGGATGTCATAGCTAACCACCCAATGTCCCTGGTTCGATCCCGGGTGCTCGGATCGTTCTTTTTGCATCTTATTATTTGATGGCATTCCCTTTTTTCAACCAACTCCCGAGGTTTTAGGTAGGCACCACGGTGTTCAAGGGGACTTCGCAGGGCGACCAATGGGCTTCTCTGCGTTGAAGGCTGCCTCACGCTCACAGTTCAACGCAGAAGGCCTGGCAAGCGTCCCCCTGCATCACAGGCCGATTCGGATTCTCAACACTGGTTCTTTCCCACCCTCAAGACAAGACTGATCCCTTTTCTATTCGCCAGTTCCTTTCTCCGACGATGGACGCAAGCACCGCGGGTGCAAAATGCAAGAAGGAAGATCGCTGCGAGCTCCAAGCTAGGTTCGAATCAAGGTACTGTAGATGCCATGTCGCCTGCCTGTGCGAGTGAAGTCCGTCAATCTCTGTTGCTGCATTATCGATTTCATTTCCGCTCCCCCTCCTTCCTTCCTCCCTTTTCTTTGCTCCGGGGGGGGGGGGGG